AAATTCGGCATATGAAAACACCAAAATCAATGATTTTTTTTCAGTGGCTGTGTGACCTTGTGTCTGACACATTCATATGCAAATGACTAATCTGTGAAACAAACAGGGGCGGAGACAAACCACTCAAATGTTTGGAAACACTCATTGTGTGTCAGATAGCTACTGATAACACATCCTAACATTGCTTTGTCTTGAGTTTATCTTTGAAACTTATAGGCACACAGATTAAACCTGTGTTGTTGATTCTGGAAAACACTACTGAGGCTGCCTTGCTTCCCTTCAGAAAATCTATATTTTAACCAACTTACATGACATTCTATGTTATATTGACTTTATCATATGAAAGTTTATGGTGCATTTCATCAATTAATAAATAAATGTGAAAATCGTAATTTTCAACACAAATAATAGTCTCGCTACCTTAAACGGGATGCAACAAATAGATAATACACTCCCCTGATTAAACATGTTTTAACTTTTACGTCTTTTAATAATATTATATTAAGTTTCTCTCGCTGAATAATACGTGTTTTTCATGTTAGTACTATTCTGTCTTGCTACTTCTTCTAAATGGAAATGATTTGCAGAATTCAATGCACTGAGATAAGAAAACTGATTACATGGAATTTTTTCGCATGGCTATAAATCCTACCTGAGCATAGCATTACACCAGCTTGCAAGGACTGAATCGTAGCAGTCTTCCCAGCACCCTCTCCAAAAAAATCGACTAACCGTACCAGAAACACTCCCATTCCGATTAGACAACCTGATATCAGCATCTGAATAATATGACTGGCTAAAACTACAAGCCAGCCATAGTAAAGACCTTCGCCATAACAGGAAGACATCATTAGTTACACGGTGGTCATAGAGTTGAGATGGAGTTCAATTTCAACCAGTCTCTTAATAACAGTTGTTCAAAAGATGGGGGCGTACACTCCGTCCGTTAAACCTCGTCGCCCAATCACACACAAGTATTTAACTTTGATAACAACATTCAGTCATATGACATATATTCCATACACAGTGTTGACACCACTAAATTAAAGTATGTTGACCTTATATTGTCCCAAATTGAAATATGAATGTTGACCCAAGTCCAATCATTCTTGAGATACCGTGCTATGTATCGGTAAATTATGAAGGTTAACGATAGACAGTACTGATAAAACATTGTTTAAATACCTGAAGCTCATCATTCGAAGCTTGGTAGCAGGACATAACACTCACTGTTGTCCAGCCAATTAAACCAATTTTAAATTTAGGATATCTATAAGCAAAGAGATATATTTTTAGATACCCAATTACGTGTAATTTGTGCTATTAGGAGTTGGATGGAAGACGATAATGCAACATGTATCATTTTTACGTACTTTGTTTTACTACTAGACGCTCGTAAATATAATCCTCACATATTACAGATATTAATGTATACTTTGGTTGTACAAGTAAGATATTTCAGGGGGAGATTCCTGGGAGGGGACTGAGTGATTAGTAAACAATGGCTAGTGTTTAACATTAAATATACCCACAATGTAAACCAGTTTTAATCGCAACACAAACCTGTCAGGTATGGAGGGGTGGTGGAAGCTATATAGATGACATGATAGTTTATTCAAGCTGCTGGGATGAGCATGTTCAAGTATTATCTGAGTTGTTTCGAAGACTAAGGGCAGCGGACATAACAGCTAGACCATCCAAGTGTGTTCTGGGTGCAACATAAGTAGAATTCCTGGGTCATGAAATTGGACACAATTGGGTGAGTCAAAGTCACGACAACATGGAGAAAATTCGAGAAGCGCAAAGACCAGCGACCAAGAAAGTTGTCCGATCATTCTTTGGGCTGGTCAATTACTACAGAGACCACATCCCCTTATTCGCAACTATTGCAGCACCATTGAGTGATCTACTAAGGAAAGGACAACCTAACAAAGTTGTATGGGGAGAGGCCCAGGAGAAAGCATATAACACTTTGCGGGA